CCCGTTTTGTCTCATGTGTGCCCACACACACGTCTTCGTGGATTCTAGGAATTAATGTGGAAGACATTGGTTTTCTAAACACAAAGATTGGAGCAAGGACTGTTCGTGGTCAAAGAACTCAAGTTATCATCCGAGTCGGCTTCTAGGTATTTTTTCTGATTGAGTTCTTGATATATATAAGTTAATGAGATTAATTTATTCGTGCATAAATTAATATAATCTATAGAGTATCTCAAAAGTTTTATGAAAATTTTTGTTATACACGATCTGCCTCTTCCCCGCACCACCGCGCTTCCGCAGCCGGATTCGATTCGGACAACCAACAATGACATCCAACAAACTTCCTTCACCGGTCTAAGCATCCTACCAAACAATTAATTATCGATAGGATAATTTATTTGCCTGTATAGATCTTAGCAATATGATAAATACATACATTTATCTTTAACACTCCAATATATTATTTGACCATAATATGAGTTTAGTGATTATGCAAGTTCATATATAATCATTCACAATATTCTCCTACTTGGACTGCATAATTAATGACGACAATACTCATATAATACAAAATGTCAAATAATAATATGTAACCAAAAGACATGGATAAAGACAACAAGCTTAAGCTCCAACAAGACTCAAGTGTCCTACCAAGCAATAAAACTATCGATAGAATAATTCTATTACCCATATGGACTTTCGGAACATAATTAACAAATTAAGTTTATCCATATAATCCCACAATTTATTATTTGATAATAGTATGTAAGTTAGTGATTACGCTAATCCACAAAAATATTTCTAATTTCCTCCCACTTGGATAGCATAATAAAAAAATATGATACTCACATAAAACAAGATATCAAATAATAATGATAGCAATAATAAATAAATTATGGATAAACTTATAGCTTAAGCTTTATAATATCATATGAGCTTCTAATTAAAATTTTCATTCTCACTCTAACACAAAAGAGACCATATATGCCTATGCAAATAATTAGGCATTAAAACATTAAACACAAAATGAGCATTTCAAAATTTGAATAAACATCCATATTATATGTCTAAATTTTATTTACCAAAATATCAAATTATGTGGGAGAACAAATAAAATATGACCATCTAATATGAAGTAACAAACATGCCCCAAAATTTTAAGTCTCAAAATAGTGAGAATTAAAACTACCCAGAAAATATATGAAAATTATTAAAATAAACAAGTATTTAAATAAAAATATTTTATAGTAGCTCATGTGCATCCATGTAAGGAGTGTGTGTATCCCAATGCCTTTTTTCAAAAGGAAAAGTTAAATTTTGTAGGAGAGCTCCGTAACATACACAGACAATTTGACATGTTTAGACTCACGAAGGCAAGTACATAAACATTCACTATTGTCGAATTCTCACAATTAAATATGCCATATAATAATAACAACATAATATAAATTTTATGGTGTCAATCGTCAAACAAATTGTATACGAAATGCCCAGAAAAAATTTGTTTAAAAATTGTGAGAATTAGCCACCCATAAAAAATATACAATCAATAATATAAAAAAAATAATTTTATAGTGGCCCAAATCCAAAATAAATCATTTAAATGGGTAAGAAATGAAAAACGGAGCGCAACGGTGGTCAAAACGGAGTTAAAATCACAAAATAGGATAGAATTTGGCCCAAAAATGGGTCCCACGTGCGCCACTTGGGTGCTGACACGCGGCTCGGCGCACTGGTGCACGCTTCTTTCTAGCGCGTTTGAAGTGTGCTCCAGCTGGCGCATTAATTGCGCCAGTGCCTTTTTTTGTCCCCAGAAACGACATGTCGTTTTGGGCTTACTGAAAATGACATGTCGTTTCACTCACATGACAGCCACAATTCCTCCTTCAAACGACATGTCATTTTTTCCCAAGGATGAAAAATGACAAGGTTGGACACGGTCGGATCCATGACCCGACCCGCTGGAAAACTGAGCTCCGGTGGTCCATTTTTGACGTTCTTAGATGGGGTTTGCTCCAAATTTCATTCTCTTTGGTTTTCAATCATCAATTTCACTAAAAAACCCATAAAAACCAAAACCCCATGGAGGAGCATGAACGTGCATTAAACCAAAAAAAATAAAAAATAAAACTATAGCCTCAAATCCAAGAAGTTAGGCTCCAATACCATTTGCTGGAAATTAATGGGTTCTCAATATTCATAAATGAGATCAAACAACAATCAAACCTAAAAATACATTGTCATATTGGATTTTGAAGCATATAGAAAATCTAATGGTTTTACGATTACCTCATCCACTCGGTAGCTGAATAACGTCATTTTGGTGGCCGAAATCCGTTCAAGGAGGCTGAGAAAATCAAGAGAGCTTGGAGGAGTTTTGAACTATTTTCTCCTCTGCATCTCTCTACTCCCACGGGCACACACCCATACACGGTAGGGGCACCAAATTTTGCCCCCTTCGCTTTTTACTGCAATCTAGGGCAAAAATGAGTCTTAACTAAAAACGTGGATAGAGAGGAAATTTGGCCCAATGGGCTGACTATATATTTAGAGAGAGTGAGTCCAATGGCCTTAAGCACATTAGAAATTAAATTGTCTATCCCATTATGAACCGATATTATACATACACCCATTCATTAATTTACATTAATACAATTGTCCATAAAATGCTTTAATTAATTACATAATGAATTATTATGATTATGGAAGTCCACATAAAAATATTTCAACAATATGGGTTTGTTTAGTTCGCTGATTCGAATTTTTAATTCAAGTTGAGATGTAACTTTATGTGAGAGTTTTTTACTGTAATAAAAAAGTTAGATGTGACTGTTTCTGAGAGTTTTTTACTGTAATAAAACTCAAATTCTAAACTCGAATCGATGAAATGAACGTATATGTATTTATGTTTTATTTTTATTTTTATGATTAATGTTTATAAAGGCAAATGTGAAAATTCTTAACGATCACTCTCTCTTTCTCTCATCAGGACACATGGCACTTTCTGACGTCCATGGCAACCCCGCCACCATGGGATCAGTGGGATTTAAAAAGATCCGGCCCTGAGTTTGGCTGCTTGAGCCTTGAAAAGTGAAAACAAACATCCAGAAAACGACAATAAAGCAGACTTCATACAAAAAATGACAGAAATTTTTTTTGGTCAGCAACGAATAAAACCAAGAAAAATTTTTGTTGGTCAGCAACGATTAAAACCAAGAAATCTTATCCTCAACTGAAACGGAATAAAGAGAATAACGTAAACGAGATAAAAAGCTAAAAACGACAAACTGAAAAGAAGAAAACGGAAAATCACCTGAAAAGTGAAACAAAACGACTGGAGACTCGAATTTAGTCGACGAAGGTAGAACTTTTTTGTTTTTTGTTTTTAATCCAATTTTACCGCATTAGAAAAGTTGCATTCAGTCAAGAAAAAAGTAGAGCGTGTGAGAATATGAGGGGAAGACCAATAAAAACAACAATGAAAGTCTTTCCTTTATGAGGTGGGGTTCGTTACTTCCTGCTCCATGGTACTAGACTTTAAAGGAAAGACTTTGAAATTCCTTCAAGTAGGGCGTCAACCACGGGGCCAAGAGACCCAAGTCTTCCTATAGAATTACCCTTCTTTCCAGACAAAATTAAATTCATACCTCATTTCCCAGTGTCCACGATACTCCCGTTTCTTCGAAATTGACTCCCGCAGGCCATGACCACATCAAAACTGCGTATCGTAAAGGGCCCAAAAAAAAAAGAGAAAAAAAGTTGTTCTTGTTCATGGCAGGAAATTTGTGAGAAAAAGGCAAGTATTGGAATAAAAAACCTTTTTTTTTTTTTTTTTTTTTTTTTTTTTTTTTTTTTGAATGAAAAGACACGAGACAGATTCTAGTTATGATACAAAATCAGCAGCTGATAAGAGTTTTTTTTCTTAATTTTTTTATTTACAAGTAAACAGTATCTAAAAAGTTCAAATTGTTGGATTCTTAATCTAGTATTAGATTTATATGTAAATAATTATATGTTGCATATAAGATTAAGCTCATTTAAAAGTAGTCTACTAAAATTTGGATAATTTGGATTTTAATTTATATTTTAAGTGTAGAGACTAGAAGATAATTTTTATTTTTATAATGGACTAAAATAAAAAGACTAAAAAGATAATAGATAAGTTATTTATATATAGCGGTTATGGTCTCCTGATCACACGTGACATTATATTTTTTTATGGCATCTCATCATCACAAAGAGAGTATTGAGAAAGTTAAAAGATTTTTTAAGAAAACGTGTTAATCTAAACGGCTCTAGAAAGTAATTGAAGATCATGAATTCAAGTAGGTTTTAACTTATTAATCTATTGATTCTTAGTGATTCAAGTTAAATGTTTTTTTGTATTTTGAGATATATTTTACATGAAAGGATATTTTCTAACACAAATAAGGTATAAATGTAGGACTGCATTGGAGTGGAAAAAGTCAAGCTTATGTGCGATTTGATAATTACGTTGGAGGAAAATCATAAATAATAACAAAAAAAAAAAAAAATGTTATGAGAAGCTAAAGCTAGCAAATTATTGGATAGAACAACGTTTCAATGATTTCCCATTGGAAGGAAATAAACAAGTGACAAAACTTTTGCATTTCATTTGGCAAAACTCACATCACACTAATTCCACTATAAACATCACCAGTCATCAATAAGAATGGGACCATTATCACAAATCCAAGTTGACCTTGACTATTGACATCTTTTTTTTTTTTTTTTTTGGGTGAGGAAACAATCGACACAGTCAACAGTTAAAGCTATTATTCCAGTCATGAAGGGCAAAACTGCAATTATTCAGAATTAATGAGGGCAATCTCTTGATTCTTCTTCTATAACTAAGAAGATCTCCCGCTTTCTGTTCTATCATTCTGCAAATGGCAGAAGCAGCTTGTGATTTGCGATTTTTGGTGTTGGCAATTTTTCTGGTTTCTTTTCTCTTTCAGTCATCACTTTCTGAAATCATATTTGAGGAGCGATTTGAAGGTAATCGCTTCATTCTTGTTTTGGTTTGGTTGTTTTTGCTTTTATAGTTCGATCACATTTGGATATATCGGGAAAGAAAACGTGTGGTTGGATAGTCAGAAACTACCCGAGAAAATTAAACAGAAATTTTTAGATACGTTCGCAGGCTTCGGCACTTAAAAGAAATTATATTCACTATCAACTAACTTACTTGACTCTTTTGTAAAACGGTTATTTAGCGATCTTTTAGCCAGTGGTAGAATGACAGATACTTTTTATTATTTATTTATATATTTCTTTAAAAGGAAATGCTTATTTTAGTGATTTTTTTAACGATCATTTTTAATATATTTAAAAATACGTGACAGAAGAAAGAGAAAGTGTAGTACATTCCTGC